ACAGAGATGTCGAGAGAGGTGAGGGGGGGCGGGGGGGGGGGGGGGGGCTGAAGAACTGGGCTGTGCCCATGAAAGCTCATGATGCCATCGGCATGTTTTTTTAGTCTTTAAAGTGCTACCAGACCATTTGCTGGGTTTTTAAGGTTTTTTTAGATTTTTCTAGTTTGCCTCTCTCAAGGATGGGGACATGCACCCCAGAATTGGACCTAAGCCTCCATCTCCGCAGCAGAATGTTGCTGAAGTAATGTGGCACCTAAGACCATTTGGCCCATCCTGTCCTTCCGAGTGCAAGCACGATTCTGTTGAACACAGCGGGGACTTACCCCAGGGTTAGGCAAGTCCAATGAGTATTGTTTAAAAGAAGTTCTTGAAATCTTTCAGGTGAGTGCCCAGAGCCCTAATCCAATGCAGATTTGAATCTACGCCGCTGAGATTGAAGGTCATTTGGTATTGTCACAAACACAGGTAACCAAAGCAACAAAGGTGACATCTGGGTTGGCACTCTCGTCCTTGACATCATTTTGCTTACCAGACGCATTAGATCAGCCCAGCCCACCTTAGGGAAATCAGTGCTAGCCGCCATCCTTCTGCGAAGAAACTCTGTCCTTGTCTAAAATATGTGATGGCAGGTTTAATTGAGGGCATTCTGGCTCTTGCCTTTCAATTAGTTCAATCTGAAATGGATCTGTTTTGGTTCCAGCCATTGCTGAGTGATTAAGATGAGTAGAGGTAGAAATTTAGCCTGTAAATTGGACATTTAGTGGCTAAAAGCAGATGTAACTTTTAAAATACTGTAAATTTGACATTTGTTAATATTTCAGTGTGACCCACGGTATGAGGAATTTGAACTGGCTCTTACAGCCTTTAACAAAGCAGATAGTCCAATCACCAGGTTATCAGACAGCTGGGGAAGCGGGTTCTTGGAAGGCAGGGGTCAGCAACCTTTCTGAAGTAGCATACCAGGTTTATTTAACCCTCCTGCTCTGGGCTGTGTTGCTCTCTGGGGGAGGACGGGCTCTTTCCTCCATGTGCCCCATGGACCACCTGGGTCAATGCAAAGCTTTCCCTGGACTATTAGTTGCTAATGGAAGCTCACTGTTAATTACATAATTATGCCCAAGCCGTTTTGCTAGTGCTGCAGCTGGGGAGAATGGCTTAATGTAAATTATTAAACCGATTAAGCATTTTAACTTTCTTGTGTTGGTTTATCAAACTTCATTTTAAATACAGTAAAACATTGTGTCCAACACAAGGTTTCAATGTTTTCTTTATGGCAGGGGTGGGGAACCTTTTTGGGTTGGGGGCCACGGACTGAAAAATCAGGTGGGGATCACAAGTGAGAAGCAAAAAAACTCCTCAAACCCTCACCGATGTGGCCCCCAGCTGAGAGAGCTCACTGCTCTGACGCTCCAGCTCCATGGGGTGAGGGGAAGGGAAGGGACAGGGAGGACTGAGGTTCGGGGTTTCCTATAGGCCAATCTACTTTTCTGGGGTGCCAGTTAGTGGATTTTGGGGATCCCCTTAGGCTCTGGGGCCTGCGTGCTGGGGATCGTCGCTCCCTGTTGTCTGGGTACCAGCAGAGCCATCTAAATTACCTCTTTTGCTGTGTACTAAATTGGAGCAGATTCTTCAGAGAGGGATGGGAAACCTTTGGGGGGGCACTGGCCCATAGAAAAATCAGTTGGGGGCCACACACACAAGTGAGTAGCAAAACCAAGAGATCCCATCTCATGGGTGTGGCCCCAACCTGTGCTCCGTCTAAGCTGGGGGGCAGCCCCCAGTCAAGCTCAGGGTCCCCTGCACACGCTGACTGACAGGACAGGGCTGATTAATCTCCTGCCAGGCTTAGAGGGACAGTGCCCCAGCTGATGAGCAGAAAGACCCACCCATTCAGTTCGGGGCACTAGGGTTCCCCTCGCATGCCAGCCCCACACAGAGTGAGTGGGGAGGCACAAGGCTCAGGGCTTCCACCCAGGGCTAGATCAACTCTTCTAGGGGCCCAATTGTGTGGGAGAGGTGCAGGGTTTGGGCAGGAGGGGCGTGGTGGGCTGCAGAAGGGGGACAGTGGATGGAGCCACTTATTTGGCACAGCTCCTGGAGTAGCACTGGTGGTTCTAATCTGCACTGGCAGGGGCCCTCCCATTGCCCTCATTGGCTGGGATTGCCT